CCGTTGTCGTCGTCGTCGTTGTCGTCGTCGTGGCCGCCGTCGCCCTCGTCGCCGTCGCCGTCGCCGTCGCCGTCGCCCTCGCCGTGGCCGTCGCCGTGGCCGTCGCCATGGCCGTCGCCGTGGCCGTGGCCGTGACCGTCGCCGTGGCCGTCGACGTCGCTGGGGCCGTAGCAGTCGCCGTCGCCCGCGCCGTCGCCGTCGACGGCGCCGTTGCCGTCGCCGTGGCCGTCCCCGTCCCCGTCGACGTCGCTGGGGCCGTCGGCGTCGGCGTCGCCGTCGCCGTCGCCGCCGCCGTCGCCGTCGCCGTTGCCGTAACCGTGGCCGTCGCCGCCGCCCTCGCCGTCGCCGTGGCCGTGGCCGTCGCCGTCGCCCGCGCCGTCGCCGTGGCCGTCGCTGTGGCCGTCGCCGTCGCCGTCGTCGTCGTCGTGGCCGTCGTCGCCGTCGTCGTCGTCGTCGTCGTCGTCGTCGCCGTCGTCGTCGTCGCAGCGCGAGGCTGCGCCCAGCCAACATGGGCGCCATATGCTTTGCTTGTAAAACTTTGATTCAAGATAGTTCGGCCGAGAGTCAACGCGCAGGCTCTCAGCGTACATCTTTGTCCCAAGTATTGTGGGCGAAGGTGGGGGAAGATGTTGAATAAGAAATGTGTCCTTGGAGTGCAAGGAGGCAGGCAGGAGCTCAGGAGAAAGGCTGACGGGGAATGAGAAGGGGGCGGAGGGGGGAGGGGGGACGGAGCAAAGGGGGGGAGGACGATGACGATTGCAGGGGAGACCCGCGGCTGCCAGAGGGAGGAAACGTGGCCGCGGTTGCCGCGGACGGCTTCCTTCCCTCTGGCGAGCCAGGCCTACCCCGCCGAGCTTTGGGGGGGATGGGGCTGGCGGGGGCCACCCTCCCTTGCCAACCTCTTATCTTTCATTCCGTTTTCACCTTGCCCCCCCCCTGGCCCATTCCCCCCCCGTCCCCCCATCGCCAGTCGTCCTTTCCCCCCTCCTTTTCCCGCTCCATCTTCTCCTTCCCTCTTCGCTCCCACCCGTTTCCCATCAGTCGTGCCTCTACCGCCAGTTGCCATTTTTGTTCAGGACCATCCGCGCTGAGAAGTGCGGCGGCGCGCTCGTCCGACTCCTCTCTCGGCGATGCCGAGATGTGGTCAATGGTTTGGGATTGCCACGGTGGCGGAGCTAAGTTGGCATACAGCCTTTTTGTTGTCGCGGACCGCCCTCCCCCTCGTGGTTGGGCGGCCTTCGGGGCTGTTTTGAGCGGCGTTGGCGGCCTGGCCGTGGTCGGTCCTCGAATCGCGCGTCCACCTGGACCTTGGGCGCATCGGTCGTTGGCGTGGGCTAGCTTTTTGAGGCGGATAGGTGTTCGTCAAGAGGTGCGAAGGTGTTGCTTCGAACGGTGGCGCGGGGTCTCAGATCTTCCACTGGCAAGAATCTGGCCCCCGAACGGCGAGTGCATCCTGTTGAGGCTTTAGCTGAGCCGAGTAACTTCCAGTTCGCCACCCAGCGTGCGGACCCTGCCATATTGAGCGTCAACGTCCCAGCCGCGCGTCCAGCTAACCCTGATTGCCCGCGATCTTTCTTCGGGCCCCAGGGCGTTGAGTTTCTGGGGCGCAGTCAGTGAGACATCCGAGATCGAAGGTGCCATGCTGGCAGGCTGCGCCCTTGCCGCCAGCTTTGCGCGCGCCCACCTGTCTCGGCTGCGGCGAAGCATCCCCTGGCACCGCCCAGCAGTGCACCTGCGCAACGTGGTATCGCAGGCCTAGAGGTTGACACCAACACCTGGATCGGCGGTGTGCCTCCACCGAGGGAAGACGATCCCGATCGCGGTGATGGTGGTAATATTCCGGCTTCTAAGGTGACCAAACTATTACCACCAACACCGACATCTAGGATCGTCTTCCCCATGTGGAGGCCACCCCCTGTGCTGGTGTTGGTGCCCACTTCCAGGCCTCCAATGGTAGACGATGTGCGTGCCCAAGTTCTCGGCAGCTCCGTCTTCGTGGAGACGGAGCTGCGGGCCGCTGGGAGAACCCAGCGGACGAACGCGCCAGGCCTGCGCACGTCCTCCGCCTCCTCCCCCTCCCCCCCCTCCTCCTCCTCCTCCTCCTCCTCCTCCTCCTCCTCCTCCTCCTCCTCCTCCTTGTCCTCCTCCTCCGCCTCATGCCTGGCCAGACCCTCACTTCTCCAGGCAAGGAGCCATCGAAAGTCTGGGGCCGGACGCAGCGCGCGACGCTCTCCACCGCCCTCGGGGCCAGGCCCGGCAAAGATCTCAAAAAAGGGACGGCGTCTTCGCCGCCCCAGAGGAGCGGCAGCGATTCCTCGGGTTCCGCGCGCTGGGCCGCAGGCGACTGCTCTCTCTCGGGTGGCGTGGTCTCGGGCATGAGCGGTAGGCAGCTCGATTAGGGGGCCACATGCGAACCCTACCCCCACCCCCCACGATTTCTGAGGGGGAGGGTTCGCGCCCCCTATTGATGCGGTGCGCAGGGCGGCTGACAGAAGCTTGCGCACGCGGAGAGGCGCGGCCTCCTTGGGGCTGCGCCTCCATTTTGCGGCGGCAGGTCTCAAGGTGGACACCGTGGTCCTGTGCCGCAGCGAAGTCATGTTTTTTTAGGCTCGGGCCGTCTGGGATGGTTGGCCTACCATGGAGGTTCTCCAGAAGGTGCAATGAGGGGCCCTCGTGGAGCTCGAAGCAGCCAGATTCTCTTGGAGGACAGCGCGGTCCCCATCGCATTTTGTTGCCATGCCGATTAGCTATTGGGTGGCGTGCTAATGCCAGCCGGGGTGTTGCCGGAAGGCCCCTGACGGCCCTGTGGACCCCTCACCACCAGGGGGCCGTCAGAAACCTTGACTCACCTCGCGGCTGGCCGCGAGCACGCATGCTCGCCCGCGGGCTGGCGGGCCCCCCCGATTGCAAACTTTGCCGAGCCGGGCCAAGGACGCCATTTCATCGCAGGAGGTTATGTTGCGACTTCTCCGAGGCCGATCACCGGGCGGCCGCGGTCAAAGAAATCCCGATGGCGACGCAACAGATGGAAACCTTGGGTCGAGACCATGAAAAGTTGGCTGCCAGCGCGACCCCTCCCCCCGCGATTTGGCCACCCTCCTGCTCTGCCAGCCGGTCGGGCATTGTGCAGGTCAGCGGGACTCCCATCGGTATGCTCTCAGGGCTCATTTTTCCTGGTGGTTCAGCCTCCGGCCCGATTGGCCCCCTCCTCTTAGGAGGAGGAGGGGGGGAAGGGGGAGGAGGAGGAGGAGGGGGGGGAGGGGGAGGAGGAGGAGGAGGAGGAGGAGGAGGAGGAGGAGGAGGAGGAGGAGAAGGAGGAGGAGGGTTCGCCATCGTCGCAGACAAAAGGCGGCTTCCTTGCAGGATGCCGCGGCGCGGCTCCTGTGGAGCCGGCTCCTCTCCGGGCCTCGAGGGGCGGAGGAGCCTGCGCCATCGGTGGCCCCGGGACGCGCGGGCCTTTGCGCGTCAACGCGAGTATTTTGGGTACTGCACTGGCGCGATAGGCTGCTCGCGCGTCCCCGACAGCGCGCCGTGGTAATGCCAGGGGTGCCCACCTTTGGTCGATAACCCGCCATGTTTATGACTCAGGGCTCAGGGCCTCCCTCGGCCACCAAGGTCGAGGCCCGCTCTTCCTTGGGGCATGTCGAGGCTGGCCGCCGCGCGCTTCAGTTTTGCAAGCTAGGCTTTGATCGCGCTGGCGAACCGCCAAGATATGGGCCAATATGCACCCGTCGACAAGTCAAACCAAGCTCTTCCTAAAGGACCTTTCAGCCATGGAGCGACAAGTTGTGTTTTGGGCTGGAGAACAGGAGGTCCGCATGGCCGACAGAGGCACGGTCGACGATGATCCCTTGCCCGGCAAAGTTGCCTTGGGCGAAGCGCCCTTCTCTCCCGAGGTTGTTGCCGACCCCGCCCCGCAGCAGCTGCGCGTCCCCGAGGTCCGAGTGGCTGTGGATGCTATGTTGTGGGCTGACGAGACATCCTCGCTGGCCCTGCTCACGCGTCGCGCCAAACATGTTGTTTTGCGCGCTTATGGGCCTGACCGCATCCCGACCCCCAGAGGGCCCCCAATCATTTTCCGCACTGGATGCGGGGCCTACGCTCGGGGGGGAATGAAGAGCTTCTGCCAGCCATGCGCCCAGTCGTCCTTGGGCGGCGAATGGGCTCCTTCCTGGGTGGGCCCCTCAGTTCAAGGGCTGGAAGAGAGGCCCTGCGAGGCGAGGAAGCCATCCCCACGCGATTTTGCTGCTATCGCACGCCTCGGCCTACGAGCCCCTCAGTTCAAGGGCTGGAAGAGAGGCCCTGCGAGGCGAGGAAACCATCCCCACGCGATTTTGCTGCTATTGCACGCCTCGGCCTACGAGGCACGAGCGTTCTGCGCGCTGCTGGGACGGAGGAGTCTGGGGACGTGGCGGTGAGCGTGGTGTGGCAGGGGGGGGGACATGGACAGCCCAACATGTGTGCGTGCAAGGCTTGGTTTCACTCCTGCTGGCCTGGCGGCGTTTGTTGGCCGTTTCGAAGCAGACGAGAAGGCTCACAAAGAGGCCAAGCCGAGCGCCGTGCGACCCCACAGCAACCAGGAGGTTGGGGGCACGGCTTTCGGACCTTTTCTGAGCTCATCGGAGCAGGGTCCGACGAGTCCCTTCGGTGAGCCGGTGGCCAGTTACGGCGATAGTGTGGGGCGTTCATCCTGCCTTTCGTGCCTCATTGCCCAAATTGTGCCACCACCCCCAGGTAGGGCCCTGTTCCAATCACCGGCGGTGCGCAGCATGGCATTTGAGAACCTAAGAGGAGGCGAAGAGGGAGGAGGAGGAGGAGGAGGAGGAGGAGGAGGAGGAGGAGGAGAAGGAGGAGGAGGAGGGCGAGGAGAAAGAGCCGGTGTTGAGGGCGAGGAGAGGAGCAGGACGAGGATCTCGGCGAGGAGAAAACGACGCCAGCAACGACGGCGGGCGGCAGCGGTGGCGGCGGCGACGAGGCTGCCGGCCGCCCCTGCGCCAGGCATGGCGCGGCGCCGCGTGCGCGGCGGCCTGCGCCTGCTGCTGGTGCTGCTGCTCGCGGCGCCCGCGTCGGCGGAGGGCGTGGAGGGCCAGCCCAGCCCGGCCGACAAGCTGCATGCGTCGCTCCTGGCGCTCGCGGGGGGGCAGCTCCACCCGGCTACACTTAGGTCGGGCCTGTCCCCCTACAGGGGGATTTTCGACGAAGCATTAAAAACACTCCGAAAATATTCCAAAAAGGCAACAAAAATATTCGACTATTTTTGGACTATTTTTAAATTACTTTTGGGGCATTTTTTTATGGTTCGTCGAGAATCCCCTTGTAGGGGGACCCGCCCGACTTAAGGCTACACGTAGAAGGGACCCTTCGCCAGAGTGGCCTCTGGTGCGGGCACGCCGGGGTCCCCAGGCAAGCGTGCGCGGTGCGACAGAAGCCTCGTTCGCGCCGGGGGCTGGGCCTCCCCACGACCCCCGAGAGTCGCGCGCAGGAGGTCGCTGTTGCCCAGAGTCACTCTTGCCTGGGGCCACTCTTTGTGCGTAGCCGATCACAGGAAGAGGTTGCGATACCGCCGCTCCTCTTGGAGAGCCCTCGTCGCCACGGCTGGAGTATCCTCGAGATCCTGGTCAGATCGCAACGCGGGGTGTCTGGGGGGAGTGGCGGTATCGAAATTGTTGTCGCTTCGCGAATCCCCACCAGCCCATCCAGAAACGATGCCCAGAGGAATTGCCTCGATCAGAGAAGTGGGCAGCACACAGAGGAAGCCATTATGAGACATCTTGGGATATCTTGAGCCATCTTGGAGGTCATTTTGGGCTCTCCCAGACGCTCTTGGAGTCATCTTAATCCGTGCCCCCCCCCAAGAGGCCTCCATGTGGCTAAAACCTGTGTAGAATCAATGATTAGGCATTCTCGCCGAGGCCTCTTGGAGCATCTTGGGTGCATCTGGGGGGGCTCTTGGGGCCTCTTGGGGGTCTCTTGGGGGCCTCCGGGGGGCCTCTTGGGGGCCTCTTGGGGCCATTTTGGGGCCATCTTGGGACCTCTTGGGGCTTCCTGGGCGCTTCTTGGGGCCATCTTGGAGGAGATCGATCAAACAAGAGGGGGGGGTGAATTAGCGCCCCCCCTCGGAAGCCCCTAAAATCGCCTCTTGGACCCCTCTTGGAACGCTCTTGGAGTGCTCTTGGGCGCTCTTGGGGCCGTCTTGGGGCTCTTTTGGGGCTCTCTTGGGGCCCTCTTGGGCCATCTTGGAGCCATCTCCAGGCCTCGGATGGCCATCGGAAGCGAAAAGGCGAGAAAGCAAAAATCATTGATTTTCCTTAGGTTTTGGGACGATTTTGGCCTCTTCGGGGCCTCCTTGGGGAGCTGTTTGGCCACTTGGAGTTATCTTGGGGCCGTCTTTGGGCTTCTTGGAACCATCTTAGGAGCCATCGTGAGCGATCTTGCGCTATCTTGAGCCATCTTGGAGCTCATCTTGGGTTCTCTGAGGCGCTCTTGGAGCCGTCTTGGGCCATCTTGGACGCTCTAACTACCCGCGGCCCCCCCCGTCCAGGTCCAGGGGAGGGGGTAGGGGGAGGGGTAAACCCCTCCCCAAGGGGGAAGAGGGAGGGGTGGAAGAGGATCTGCTCTAGACCACCTACGCCCAGAGGGCTGGTGGGATTCGCTTGTCCCCAGAAAGTCGGGGGTGCTCCCAGGAGGGAATGCAGATGGGGCGGGCCCTCTCGGATTGCTCAAACCTTGTCGGAAGCCCCCAGAGGGCTTTCCAGAAGGCTGGTGGGCTTCGGAGAGTCCCTGCTGCTCTATGAGGAGGCTTGCTCCCTCCAGCTCGTCACTCCTGGTGCTCGTGTCGCCATGAGGCAAACGGATCGTGTGTTTCGTTCATCGTCTTTACGTCGACGACGCCGATGCATCGGCGATGCATGGTGATGCGGCGCGATCCTCCGACCCCATCAGTTCGGACCCCAGTTGGGAGGCCTCCTTCAAGGCGGCGGCCATGATTTCTCTCGATCTCATGACACAGTCTTGAGTAGGGGATCGACTGCATAATTGCTGTACACCAGAATTTCTTTGTTCGTCGAATCCATGAAAAATGCTACGTGTGTTCTGTAGATTCGACGAACAAAAGCAAATTCTGGGGTAAATCAATTCTGCAGTCGCGCACTTACAGTCAACCCGCATAGTGAGGAAGGGCAAACTTCCCAAGCGTACCCTTGCATCCTTGCCCCTTCGGCCCATCCTTGGCTGCTTTCGCTGGCCGCGCCTGGCTTGCAAAGTGTTGACATGGCCTTCCAAGGCTCTTGGATCCTTACAGTCGGACCGAGGTATAAGATCGAGTTTGGTTCGGGGAGGGTACCTTGTGTTCTTCGTGCTTGTTGGATGTTCTTGTGCATCCTGGGGAGGGTGCCCTGGGATGCTCTGGTTGTTTTGGCAGAGGGAGGGTCTCATGTGCTTGAGAGATGTTCTTCTGGCCCAGGTCCGACTGCACCGCGCATCCTTATCGCGCATCCTCATGATAAGGGTTGACAGTCTTCGAGTTCTTCTTTCAAGCAACCCACTGGCCTCCTCGCGTCCGCGCGCGCACCTCAGGCCGTGCTGCGCACCCCCCCCCTCCCCGGGGAGGGAAGGCCCACCGTTTCGCCGCCGGGCAGCGCCGGGTCGCCGGCGGGGGCGCGAAGACGCGGGCGGGTGGTAAAGGGGGGGGGCGAGCCCGGGGGGCGAAGAAGAAGGAGGCCCGGAGGGTGCCCCTGGGGCCCCTTCTTGTGGGCCAGCAGGTGCCCAGAAGGAGCCCGCAAGGGCACCTCGAGGGCCCTTGTCTTCACTCCCCCAATGCGGGTCACCCCCCGTGAGCACCCGCCCGAAGGATTCGGGAGGGGAGAAAAAACACAGGCACTATTTTATCGTCGGCTCCCAGGAAAAGATGGGAAACAATGTGGGAAGTGGGGGGGGGGGAAGACACGAGCCCAGGAACAATTGGAACATGTGGGGCATCTTCTTATTTGTGCGTATGTGTGTGGGAAAATGGGAAAATATGGGAAAAAATAGGAAAGAATAGGTCAATATTTGAAAATATGGGAAAATTTGTGTGTCCTGGGGCCCCTTCCAAGAGGTTCGCGCCCGGGCGCAGTCGCGGCCCGGGCCCGGGCGGCCGCCGAGGGCGCGCGAGGCATCACGGGGGGCGCGTGTCGCGCCTCGCGGGGGCGCGGCCCGCGGGGCGCGGCGGCCCGAGGCGGCGGGCCCTTGAGGAGTCGGGGGCGGCCAGGATGGGGATGACGGTAGAAAAAAACAAAAACTACAAACAAACAACAACACAGCAAACAGAAAAAACAAAACAAAACACAAAACACACAAAACACACAAAACACACAACAAACACACAGTGTGTGTTTTTTCCCCACAGTTTTTTATGTATTATTATTTTTTGTTCATGTGTGTGTGTGTGTGTTTCTTCCCACAGTGTGTTTTTTTTCCCACGTGTGTTTTTTTCCCACAGGTTTGCGTCGTGTCGACCCCGCCGCCGGCGTTCAACGCTGAACGCCGCCGGCGACCCAGGATAGGTTTAAGTCGGGCCTGTCCCTCCACAGGGGGAAGATTCAGCGACAGTTACAAAATAGTATGGGGACGATTTTTGAGAATTTTTTGACTATTTCTGGGTCTTGTTCGAATATTTCTAATTTTTCACTCAAAATCCCCGTGTAGGAGGACATGCCCGACCTGAGAATAGGTCGATTCAAGGTTGAAGCATCCCCGCGGTGTCAGGAACCAGCGCCGGGCTTTTTACGTCACGAACCTGCCGTCTTGATTGCCGGAGGCACATCAGGTAAGAAATCGGCCTGCCATCAGGTGCCCCACGGAAATTTCTTATCCCCCGATGCTGCCAGTCCAAGTTCCGTGTGAAGCTCAGTAATGCCGCGGCGTGATCCTCTTCTGGGCCCTGGCCCACCCGCGCTGCCCTTGAAGGGCCGGTCCGCAGGACCGACGGTGCGCGTTACGCTCTGCTCCCAGGGACGCACAGAAGTGCTTGCCACCTGAGGTCCTTCAAAGATCGGCGACGAGTGTGCGCCAAGATCTCACATAGCATGTTCGAAGATCGCATCCGTCAATCGTAGAGGGGTGCGGATATGATGGCCAAGGCCAAGATGCCTCCTCGGATTGCATGGAGCCCGCTTCCCTCAGGACCTTCTTCTTTGGCGGGCGAAGGGCGGTCATGCGACCAAGCGATGAAGAAATGCTCAGGGGGTTTGGAGCCCCCACTAGGAGGTGGAAGATTACACAAATATTCCCAGTTCGTCGTCGTCGTCGTCGTCGTCGCCGTCGTCGTCAATGGCGCCAGGCCGCAGCCAGCGCCTAGACGAGAAGTACCATCTGTCTTGGTCGTTCCTGCCCAACTTTGCTTCTTCGCCACCAGGGGCGCCTGTCCCTTGGAGACGGGACAGCTTGTGCTTCTGCCCTTTCGCCAGGGTAGGAGCTCTCTTGCCGCCTCGGCTGATGACAGAAAGCGCACCCCCACCGCCGCCTGGCCCCCTTCACCCTTTTGGGGCTAGGCTAAAGTCGGGCATGTCCCTTTACAGTAGGAATGCTCAAGAATAGTCAAAAATAAGACGGGGACGATTCTTCGATTTTTTGACCACTTTTGAATATTTTTGGCTATTCTAATTTTTTCCTCAAATCTGCCAGTAGGGAGACATGCCCGACCTAAGGCTAGGCCAGCGAGCTTCGGCTCCCGATTCTGAGAGTGTTTCGCAAGAGTGCAATGAAAAACAAGCCCCGCCCGCACTGGAACCCCCACCGCCCCCTCCGGGGAGGGGAGCCAGGTGGGGCGGGGAGTTTTTTTTTGTCTCCCTCCAAAGTTGCTTGTACCGTTCTTCGTCCGCTGCGACTCCTCTCGTGACACCCCTGCCCCAGAGCTCCGACACCTTCCCTGGGGTCACCTCTTCCCCCTATCTGTAGATCCTCGTCCGATGGCCCCGGGGTCCAAGGATGCTCCCCAGAAGCCGAGCTCGAGGAGCAGCTCCCGATCCCTTCCCTGGGTGCCACCTCTTCCCCCTATCTGTAGATCCTCCTCCGAGGGCCCCGCGGGGCCCAAGGATGCTCCCCGGAGGCCGAGCTCGAGGAGCAGCGCCCGGGCGGAGACGCTCTCGGCCTCCTGGATGGGGTCGGAGTAGACGAGGGCGCCCTCGAGGGCGCGAAGTTTTCTTCGCGCTTCGCGCTTCGCGCTTCGGCTCCGACTCCGCCTCGTCCTCCTCCCCTCCGCTGGGAGGCGGCGCGAGAGCCCGAAGTTATGCGCGCTTCGCGCTTCGCGCAGCGCGAAGCGCGAAGTTGGGAGCCCTTAGTAGATGGGGTCGGAGGATCGCGCCGCATCGGCGATGGATCGGCGATGCATCGCCGATGCGGCTCGATGTGCAGCCCGATCTGCGTCACGCCGACGTCGCCGATGCATCGCCGACCTCGACGATGCATCGCCGGCGCATCGCGGATGCATCGCCGATGCACCGCCGATGCATCGCCGATGCATCGGCGATGCGGCGCGACCCTCCGACCCCATCTGCTCCGACCCCATTCGGGAGGCCTCGAAACGTTCACATCGTCGGAGCTCTGGGGCCGCACCGCGGCAGCCTTTTGCCCCCCCCCCGCCCAGGTGCTGCCCCTGCTGCCCGTCCTGGCGTGCCTGGCCCTGCGGCCGCGCGCCACGGCCGCCGCCGCGCTCCTGTGGGGCCTCCTCTGGGCGGTCTGGGCCGTCGAGGAGCCCCTGGGGCAGACCGGGGCCGTGGGGGGGCCAGACAGAGTCGGCGCATCGAGCACCTCCTCCTCCTCCTCCTCCTCCTCCTCCTCCGCCTTTTTGTTTGACGTTGCTCGGACTTGATGCTATGACCTCGCTGTCTTTTGTTAGACCAACCTCAGGTTACCCTATGGCGTTCTCTTATAACCTCCTCCTCCTCCTCTCGCTGGTGTGTTTTCTCGGGGGATGTTGCTGTAATCTATGCCAGCGCCGAGGGCGGGGTTTCCAGCGCCGGCCCAAGAAATCCGACCGGGGCTCCGAGTACTTCTGTTTATGCCGTTTTGTCCCTCTGTGCAATGCCTCGCTCTCCTGGTTTTGCTGTGTTCTTGCTCGGTAGCATTTGTCACGTGTGCGGAGCTACACTGTCAATGCCGCGATTTCCTGTGGCTTTGCCGTGTTTCTGCTCGCAACGCACACCGCCAGAGGCGGCGGAGAGCTTGAGATCCACCCACAGAAAGTGGCAGGTTCGTCGCCTTTCTGGTCGTTCTGGAGGCGGGCCCCGGTCCCCGGGGTCGTGACAAGACGCGGTCCACGACGAAAGACGGGCCTCTGCGAAGAATGGGTCCAGCCCTTAGCGGCCCGCGCAACGAGCAAGACCGACACGCCAGATGCCTGAGGGTGCTGTCGCCGTGGGCGACATTTGCCACGGCGCACTGCGTGCGGCAGGTTCGCACACGGCACTGAAACGGCTGTGGCGGCTTTCATGCACGGGCACGACGGCAAGTACAGAGGGCCACTGGCACTGGCGATGGGCGACGCTTGTGCAAGTGGCGACGAGTATTACCAGAGGGCCTTGGCCAAAATCAAGCAGAGGTTCCCCTTCGGCAAGTACGGGAAGGGCATGGATGGGCGACTTCCTCGGCAAGCAGCTTGAGCAGCTACCCGATAAGTCTGCCAACGTTAACCAGAAAACCATGGTTGAGGAGTTCGAGCTGACCAACATTCCGGCGGGACGCCAGGCCATTCTCAACGAGCCTTGCGACGAGAAGGAGATTTCCGCCCTGTGGGCCGTGGCGAGATCCCTCAACTACATCGGCCCAGGGACCCAGCCATATCTCAGTGGACCAACCAATGTTCCTGCTGCAGAGCACGTTCGCGAAGCCGAAGGTGGCGGACATGCTGGAAGGACATCGGCTGGTGAGGATCGGGAAGGACTTCTCCCACGCGAGCTTGTGGGTCAGGCCGATCGAGCTGCAGTGCCTGGGCTTCTACGCGGTAGCCGAGGCGGCAGGGGCGAATGCGACAGATCAGGCCGGCCAGGCGGATTGGATATTCACGGCGAAGGGCGCGCGGATATGCGACGGACAGTGGGAAAGGCCGCCTGTTTTGTTTAGGGCGCAAGCCCCTGTCTCGGGTAGGGCACAGGCCCTTGGGCCCGGTTTGGTGGAAGTTTTTGGACGGGTGCAGGGTTTGTCTTTCCCGCTGCAGGTTCTGCGCTCGCCCCTGCATCGCGCGCGCGGCGCAGGCCGCGTCCTGGGCAAAGGCGCCATGCTGGCGCAAGCGCAGGCCCTATTCTGGGGACAGGCGCAGGCCGTGGTTGCGTACTTCTTGAATTCGGATAATTAAGGCGCAGTCCTGGGGCGCCTGTCTTGTGCGGGGGGCGCGGGCCCCAGGCCATTTTTTGGGGTGGGGCACAGGGCGCAGGCACCAAGACCCTATCGTGGAAGTGCCGCGTCTTGCGTTGGGCGCAGGCCCCAGGGCCCGTCTCGGATAGGGCGCGGGCCCCGCGACCCCTTCGAGGTTGAGCCACCTTGTGGGCATGGCGCTGGCCTTGAGCCCTTTTTCCGGGTAGGGCGCCGGCCCCGGGCGTTTTTTTGTGCGCCTTTCCTTGGTAGGGCGCAGGCCCCGAGCTCTGGTGTAATTTGGGACGGAGGCTCCGAGGCCCCGTCGAGGAATTCGCATGTCTAGGATTGGGCGCAGGCCCCAGGCCCCGTCTTGGGCATCTTGCAGGCCCCAATGCACTGTCGTGGAAGTGCCACGTCGTCGCCAGTCATTTCTTGGTCGGGCGAGGGCCCGTAGTTGGGCTTCAGCCCCGTCTTCGTTGTCGCGGGGCCGGGTCTGTGAAGCCCCGCGCCGTCTTTGCCGCGCGCGCGGCAGCTTCGGCGAGCGCAGCGGGCGGGCGCCAGTCGGGCCATCGCGCGGCAACTCGCGCCCTTGCGCTGCGCGCGAACTCGGCGATGTGTTGCGGCGCTTTAGACTGCGCGTCGGCGCGCGGCGGTCGCCGCGAAGTGCCGATGGGGCGCAGTCGATCGCCGAACTGGCGGGCGCAGTGTTCCAGGGGTCATTCCGATTCCGCGGGTTCGATTCAAATCGATTTCTGCGATTCCGATGTCGAACCGACTCGATTCCGGGATTCCGATTCGCGATTCCGATTTCGAGTTCGCCCGATCCGGCTTCCGCCGATTCGATGCGTCAGCCGATTCCTGCCGGCTTTTGCCGATCCGGCTTCGCTCCAGCACTGGCCCACATGGGGGGGGGGAACCCCCGGGGGGGAGTCCAGCCCCTCCCCCAGGGAGGGTTTCCAAAAGCTCTGGGACCCCCCTCCTCCCAGGAGGGGTTTTCCAAAAGCCCCGGGGCCCCAGCCCCCTCCCCGGGGGGGGGTCCAAAAGGCCCGGGGCCCCAAACCCCTTCCAGGGGGGGGGGTCCAAAGGCTTCGGGGCCCCCCTCCCCCATTGGGGGGTCCCCCAACAGCCCCGGGGCACCCCCCTTCCCAGGGGGGGGTTTTCCAAAAGCCCCGGGACCCCCCTCCCCAAGAGGGGGGGGGTCCAAGTGCCCCGGGACCCCAACCCCACCCGAGGGGGGGGGGTCCACAAGCATCGCCCCCCCCCCCCCCCCCCCCCCCCCTCCCAGGACGGGGTTTTCCAAAAAAAAGCACCGGGAACCCAACTCCCCCCCAGGAGGGGGGGGGTCCATGGCCCAAGCCCCACCCTGGGGGGGGGGTCCCTCCCCCAGGGGGGGGGCCGATTTCGGTTCCGATCCGGCTTGACGCGGCCCGGTTTCCGACTCGATCCGGCTCGGACCTGCCGACCTCAGCCGATTTCGATTTGGCTGCTGGCTTTTGCCGATGTCTGCCGATTCGATGCTCCGGTCGACCCGATTTGGCTTATCGATTCGATGCTGGGGCCGCCTGGTGTTCGCGGGCTCCGCCCCTGGGCCAGGAAGGCTCGACGCTGCGCGGCGGCGTCTGGAGCGCGCGCGGCAATCGCCGCGGCCAGCGCGCCAGCCCGTGCGACGGCCGCAGAGGCAGGCCCCCCCCCCTTTGCGGCATATTATGTGGCCGCTCTAATGGCAATGCGCAAGGCGGGCGCCAGCAGGGCGAGCGCGCGCGCCCTGGCCCCCGCCTCCGGCTCTCCGTTTTGCCTTTTCGCAGGAGAAGCCGCTCCGCGTCGTCTTGGGCCTTCTCCCAGGCAGTGCGTCGCTGGGCAAACTTCCTTTAGCGTTGCGGCCCAGGCGAGTCCGAGCCCGCGCGCCCGCCTCAGCACCTCTGGCAGTGTGCTGGCAGCTCGGGCATGTTTGACTCGCTGAACGCGGAGGTGGCCGAGCGTGATAAGCAGGCGTGTAGCGCGGTGGGCGCCCGCGTTTTCGCGCGCTCAGACATCGGTGAGCGCGTGCCTGAGTTGGCCCGCTTGGGCCCGCGTGACCTTGGAACAGATGTTGGCGCGGCTGGAACTGTCTTTCAATATTCTCGGGCCTCGCCAAGATCGCCCCCGCGCGCGCGCGCGCCCCGCGGGAGGTCGCTTGCGGCGCAGGGCGCGGGCGTTTTGCTTTTGCTCGTCGCCATCGCCCGTGGCGCGCTGCGTTCTGGCCGCGGCGTCGAAGCGCCGCGCGCACCTCGGTGCCCCGCGGGGCTGCGGGGCGAGGAAGCGCGCAAGGCGCGACCCCAATTGCGCGCCGCGTCCGCGCTGCCCCGCCCCCGCGCAGGTGCGGCGCAGTCATGGTCGCCGCGTCAGCGGGAGGTCCAGAATTCATTCGGGCAAGGCCGTCGTGGAGATTCATCAGCGCGCCGTGCAAATATCGTGAGGCTGCGCCCTCCAGGCGGATTGGCGCAGCGATTTTGTGTTTCTTCGGGGCCCAAAATATTAGATGTCCAAGTTGTTCGGTTTTTCTTTGTTCAGAAGTAGTTGCGTCGCCGACCCGCTCCGATGTTGGGCATTCGGCGTGCGGCTTGCGCGCGATCTCGGTTCGACGCGTCATTCGAGCGGTGTCGCCCCTGGTCTGTCTCCGCCTCGTCTCTCTGCTACCCTTCCTCTTTGAAGTTCAGAATCGTGTTTTCGGGTATCGTTTCAGCTCGCGGTGGCCTTCGGGGACCTCGCGCGCGTCGTGGGCCGCCTGCAAGCCTTCCTGGGTGTCGCGGACCGATCGATCGACGACTCGGAGCCCTCTTAGACCGTCTCGGCCGTTTCTTGGGGCCTCTTGGGATCGCCTTGGGGCGCCTGAAAGCCGCGCCCGGGAGAAAAAACATCTGGCCCGACTTGGCCGGGGCGCTCTGCGCCCGGGGGCCGCTGCGGGCCGCCCCGCGCGCGAAGGAGACATTGCGAGGCAGTCGATGGAGATCTTCGCGCGCCTCTGGCCCGTTGGGCCGGCGAGTTTCCCCCGGGAAGCATGTCCAGCGCGCTGCGGGGCGCGCGACGAACGTTCGGCCAATTTCGACGACTCCTTCTCTCATCCTCTCCTTCTGCTGCTTCCCATTCTTTCCTCTTCCCGCTGCTGCTGCTGGCCCGCCTGCTGCTGCTGCCGCTCCCTCCCATTTTTCGTTCCCTAACCGTCGCTGATGCTGCGCGGGCGCGCCTGTTCGGCGCGCCGGCAGACCGTGCGTGCCCGCGATTCTGCGCCTGCGATTTCGCCTGCGATTTCGGCCGCGATTTCGCCCGGGACTCCGGAGACGATTTTGCCCGCGATTTCGGGCGCGATTCTGCTTGCGAGTTTCGGCAGCGATTCCGCGCGCTTCTTGGAAGGCACCGCGAAACCGCCCGCGAGTCTGAACGCGATTCTTTTCTCATCGATTTAATGCAACAGAAATCGTGGTCAAAACAGTGCGCCTCCGCGGAAGGGCGGCCGTCGGCAACGTCGGGGCCAAACGCGCGCCCAAATCGCGGCCGAACGGGGGGTGAAGGGCGCCGCGGAAAGACAGCGGGGGGGTCGGGGAGGGGGCCTCGGGCTCGCCCGGGGGCCCCCGCTCGGTTGGACTGGATGCCCTCGCGGCGGGCTGCGCTGGGTTCGATTGCGCCGCCGCGCCCGCGGCCGCTGAGGCCTCGAACCCGACGTTTGCCGTCGGGCCCCTCTCCTCTGCCACCGGCGCAGCCGCGCGCCGTGGCCCCCGATGGGGGCGCGCCGTGGCCTCGCCGCGGTTGCCGCCGAGTCTGCGCCGGCGGCCCCCGCGCCCGCGGTGGGCCCCGCGAGCGCCGCCCCCCGGGAGCGGAGTTTGTTGGACTTGCGCGGGCATGAGATCCAACCGCCCCCGGCGCGTCGCTCGCGCTCGAGCGCGTCTTCTTCGCTTCCAAAGTGGCCCTCTCTCGTGGTCCGTCGGCCCCGCGCCCGCGCGTTCCATCATGAATCAGCTTAGGGGGTGTTTTTTCCCGCGCAAGCTATCGGCCGCGCGGCCGGGGCAGCAGCTGGCGTTTCGACGGCTGCGCGCGCGCGAGACGGCTGCGCGCGGCGAGATTCGCGCGGGCGCTATGCCCAGCGACCGCGGAACGAGGCGTCATCGCGGTGATGAGTTCCATGGCGGTCACGTGACGGCCTGGCTCGGGGCCCGCGCCGGCCGCGCCTCGCCGCGCGGCCATTCGCAGGCGCGCGGGCGTTCCATGATGCCTCCCCGCGGTCGAGCTTGAGGAAGGCAACGTGTTGGACATTTTCCAACGTTGAAATCGTAGCGGCTCCTTGGGGGGGGGGCTCTGCTCGGCAACAAACAGCGCGCGACGTCTGCGACCGCGACGAAAAATCTTCGCGCGCGTCGGCGCGCGTCGCGCCGCCCAGCTCTCTTCGCCCCCGTAATGCTTCGCTTGCGCGCTCAGGCGCCTGCGGGCCGCGCGCCCGACGGGCCGCGGCGGGGCCGGCGGCGGCCAGCGGGGGCGCGACCGCTGGGGCCAGCGCGCTGGGCGCAGTTGGGGTGGTCGCGACTGGGGGGGCGCGGCGTGGAAGGGCGGCCCCAGCTGGAGTCGGTCCCAGTCACAGGGCGGCCGCGCGCGCCTTGCGCCAGGTGCGGGCGCGCTCGGGAAACCCAGGGCGCCGCCGCGCTCCGCTGCAGTTGGGCGCAGTCGCTATGCATGCGGCTGCTCGGTCAGACAGCAGGCGCGGCGCGCGCCCGTTGCGATCGCCCGCGCGCGCGTTGCGCCGCTAAGCACCTCGGCGAGGCGGGGGCATGGGCCTTGGCGAAGAATTCTTTCAGCGACTCCGCGTCCGACTCGCCTTCGGCGCCCCCTGGCGGGCCGCGCCCGGCCGTGCCCAGCGCGCGCCTTGTGCGTGCCTCTGCATCTTCGGCGGCCGCCCGCGGTCGGCCCGTCAGTCTCGCTCGCGCTGTCGTCGGGGGGGGCGCGCGGAAAAGGGCCGCGGGCCCGTGCTCGCTGCCGCGATTGGCGTTCCGCCTTGCAGAAAATTCCCGCAGCTTCGAGGGCCGCGAGCATCCATGTGACTTGTGTATCCTGGTGTTGTGGCGGCGCCGTCTGGGAACTCTCGTGGAACGTCTGGGGGGCGTTTTGTGCCGTCCGGGAGCCTTCGTGGAACGCCTTGACATCGTGGTGGGCCGTCGGGGGGCGACCGTAGGTTTCTGGGAGTGATTTTCCGGCAATTCGGGCGCGGCTCAGTGGCTTTCTGGGCTGTCCTGGAGGTTTCTTGGTGCGGGGGCCTCTGGGGTGCTCTGGGCGCCCTCTGGGGGAGTTCCTGAAACTGTCTTGGAGCGGGTGGTGGTGCTTCTGGGGCTGAATTGGAGCGCCGGCAAGCCGAAAACGCTGAACGCCCCCAAACGTCAAAAACTGATTCGGAAACCAAAAACGGGCTCCCCCTAAGGGCGCCCGCACCGCCCAAGAGGCCCCAACTCCGCCCTAAGACTCCTCCATAACAGCCAAACAAGGCGTTTAGACACTCCCGAGTCGCCAAACAATCCTGCCCAGACGCGCGTGGTCGCATGCAGCATGCAGATGGCCCACCACGCTCCCGAGACGCGTCACGAAGGTTCCAAAGGACCAGACCGCCCCCCAGACGTTCCAAGAGACTTCCTACACGGCTTTCAAGGGGGCCCCGAAACGCCAAATTCTTTGATTTTCCAGCGGTTCTGCTTGTTTTTTGGGTTCCCGCCTTTGAGTTCACACAGTAGGCAATAACCTACACATGTTCAGCGAACATCCCAAACCGACCCGCGCTTCCGGATCGCAGAAAAAAGGCCCTTGTCTTCGTCGTCGTCGTCGTAGTCGTCGTCGTCGTCGTCGTCGTCGCCGTCGTCGTCGTCGTCGTCGTCGTCGTCCTCGTCCTCGTCCTCGTCCTCGTCCTCGTCGTCGTCGTTTTCCTCGTCGTCGTCGTCGTCGTGGGCCGCGGAGGTTCCGCAACTCTCGCCAGGAGGGAGAGGGGACCTGCGGGAAAGGGGTCCTCAGGCGTTTCCGGCCTCTCCGGGGCCTTCCCGGAATTTGGTCAAAATGAAAAGAACCTTGAATTTCGACGTTCGATCACTGTCCCCCCCCCTGTCGAAGTGCGGCGGCTTCTGATCCAGGGTGGGGAAGGAGGTAGAAATTGGGGGGAGGAGGAGAAGGAACATGAGCAGGCGGAGGACGGGCAAGATGCGGAGGACGAAGGGCAGGGAAAAACATGAGCCAGGAAAAGGGGACGAGAGGAGGAGACTGTGGACGAAAAAGGAAGTAGGAGGATAGCAGGAGAAGGAGGAAAAGGAGGAGGAAGAGCAGGAGGAGGAGGAGGAGGAGGAGGAGGAGGAATAGACGGAAGAGACGGTGGAGGAGGATCAGTGTAAACCCAAGAGTCCACAACGATGTTGGAGTAAAGCCCTCCCTCCAAGCTCCATCTCCGTATGCCCCTGGAACGGTTCATTTCCATTGGGCGAACTGCCCCGTTGGAAGACAAACGTTTGAAGACCCTGAAGCATGCCAAAACATTATTCTCGGGATTCCAACGCCACGGTTGTTGCGTGTTGACGATCCTGAATCGTGCCAAAATGCTATACCTGGGACTTCAACACAGAGAATCAACATAACTGCTGGACCAGCATAGTCCAGAATATTTCTACAACGCCATGTCTGGTACGTTGGTGATAGGAACCCGTGACACACTTGATTCTTTTGCATGTTAAAACGAATGTGCGCCGCGCTGAAGCGATGACATCATATTGAAAAGCATCCTGAATCCGTGGACCTCTTGGAAATATTTCGCCGCGTTGAGGCGAAAACCATATTTTGAAAACCACCCGCCCTCAATCCGTGAAACCTTGTCAAGTTTTGCTAACGAATGTGCGCCTCGCTGGAGCGAGAGCCACAAGCTGAAAACCACCTGCCCTCAATCCGTGAAGCTCTTGCAAGTGTTTGAAACGAAGGTGCACCGCGCAGAGGCAAGATCCACATTTTGATAACCATCCGCACTCACTCCGTGTACTTCCTGCAATTTGGCAAATATAGGTGCGCTGCGCTAAGGTGATAACCACATTCGGAAAACCATCCGCGTTCAATCCGTGTACTTCCTGCAATTTGGCAACTATAGGTGCGCCGCGCTAAGGCGATAACCACATTTGGAAAACCATCCGCGTTCAATCCGTGAAATTCTTGCAATTTGGTAAAACGAACGTGCGCCGCGCTAAGGCGAGAGCCACATTTTGAACACCACCCGCCCTCCGTCTGTGAAGTTTTTGTTGTCAATTTAGAGTTCCACAGTCATAGGTGGTTAGGAAGTCTCAGGCGAAACGCCCGGCCCTCCCTAAACTCTTGCCTCGGGGTGCAAGGACAAGGAACGGAAGGGGGAGGAGGAGGAGGAGGAGGAGGAGGAGGAGGAGGAGGAGGAGGAGGAGGAGGAGGATGAGGAACTGGAGGAGGCGGAGGAGGAGGAGGTTGAGGAAGAGAAGCAGAGAGTAGGAAGGAGGAGAATGGAGGAGGCTTCCACGAGGGCCAGCATAGCCCCCCCTAGGCCCCACAGAAGGCTTTCACGATGCCCCCAACAAGCCGTCGAGAGACCCCCACGAGACATCCAAGATGCCAGATCCAGTGCACAGGGGTAAGAGGGGAGGAGGAGGAGGCGAGTCATGAGGAGGACAGCGGGAGCAGAGGAGGTGAGGGGGCACAGAGGGAACAGGGGACGAGGACGAGGACCGCAGAGGAGCAAAGAGGGAGTCGGGAGAGGGGCAAAGGGAAAACCACGGAGGGAGCAGAGAAGGAAGGGGAGGAATAGGAGGAGGAGGAGGAGGAGGAGGAGGAGGAGGAGGAGGAGGAGGAGGAGGAGGAGGAGGAGGACCACAGCAACGGCGAGGACCGAGAGGGACGAGGACAGGAGAGGGTCGAGGCGGACGGAGGCTCCGAAAAACCCACATGGGGGGGGAAATTCGCGGTGTCGCCCAAGGCACGAGGGAAAGCGAAAGCCATGGCCTAGCTGTGACTAAAACCTAAGTGTGCAGCGTGGCGTATTTGAACACACGTGTATGCATGTATGTATGTCTGCATGCATACTTGTAGATATGTATACGTGTGGAGGTATATATCGTCAGACATATCGATATGCATGCGCGGGTACATGTATTTACGTATGCGCACGTATGTGTGTGTATGTATGTATGTATGTGTGTGTATGTTTGGGTGCATGCATGCATGTATGTATGTATGCATGGCTGCATGATTGCACGTATAAGCGTATGTATGTATGGCAGGCAGTACGTATGTCTGTACGTGTGTGTTTGTATGTATGCAAGTATGCATGTATGCATGTATGTATGTATGTATGTATGTATGTATGTATGTATATATTCATGTATGCACAGTTGTATCATAATCGTATGGTTGTATGCATGTGTGTATGTAAGTATTCACGTACGTACGGGCGCACATATGCCTACATTCGTGTGCATGCCTGGATGCAGGTACGTGTATATGCACGTATGCATGCATGCAATGTGCGTGTGTATGTATGCCCGCATGTACGCATAATATATATATGTATGTATGCATGTCTGTCTGTATGCATGCGTCTATATACGCACAAGGGCGTCTTGGGCCCCTGGCCAGGCCCCCGGGACACAGGCAGAATGTCCGAGGCACGCTTTTCTATCGCCCTCACGGGCGTCCAAGACGGCCCCGGAAGGTTGCCAAAGGCAGACGAATTCCCGAAGATCTCCCCAGGACGGGCGAAGAATGCCTACGATGCCCCAAAGATAGCCCAATGGTGCCCGATGGAGGTCAAAATCCATCAAATGAAGTTCCGGTTCCCAATGTGAAATTGAAGTCCCCCCGAGGCTTCCCAAGGACGCCCCCGATGGCGTAATACAGTGCAAGAGCAGTGTTTTAACCAATCTTTGTGGCTCTCTCGCCTTTTTGGTTCCGATGGGGTCTTGGGGGCCTCCAGCTGTCCACAAGATCGCCCAGCAGAGCTCCAGGCGAGGCCCAACACGGTGCAAGACGCTCGAAGAGATTCGAAGAGGATTCTAAGATGGCCCCAGGACGGTCCACAACCTTCCAAGGGGCACCCACGACTCCCCAAGAGAGCCCGAGGAGGCCTGCAACCATTTTGGCTCAAGAGTTTGTGTGTCGAAGTGGTTTGATTTCAACACGCCGGCGTTCCAAGTTTGACAGCTTACAAATTCCAACACGACGTCATGACTACGATAGCGTGGGCGATTGCTCGCTCAGCCGTCGCCGTCCTATGCGTTTTCACAGTAGCCGATGCCAAAGTCAAGGACACGTTTTGGGGATATTTCGACGATATGGTGGGTGAGGGTAACGAGAGAAGCGATGTGACCACCGTTGCAGAGATACTCGACCGTGGCGCTGGTGTGCAGATTGAGGACTGTGGCGGTAAGAGTGATGTGATGTCTGTCACTCGCGCGGAGTTCGACCAGGCCCATCTCCAGGTGCGCGTTTACGGGGATCTCTCGAATAACGTGTCGGGGGGCACTGTCAACGTTAAGATGTACAAGGGCTCGGCTGCCGAAGGCTCATCCTCAGGAGACTGGGTGAAGCGTGAACTCGCATGGCACAGCGTCCCTCACACATACGAGGAGGACTTGTGCAAACACTTCGGCAAAAGCCACAGCCGTCGCGGATGCCCCCTTCCACCTGGGAGCACCGAGCTCCGCTTCGCCCTCGACGCGTTGCCACCGATGGTGGTTGCTGGCGGCTACAAGCTGAAGATCAAGGTCATCGATTCCGCAGGCAAGGCCATGACGTGCTTGCGGGTGCATGTGGATGTCCCTCGAGGCAAGAGTGGCGAGCTGTTCCGCAGGGTCCAGGCGCTGCCGATGGCACATGCAGGACGGGCTCTGATGTCTGGAGCCGAAAGCTGTAACTGTCCCTACTCAGACCCCGTGTGTGGTGAAGACGGCCAGACGTATGACAGCACCTGTCAAGCCAGCTGTGCCAATATTGATACAGCCTACTTGGGCAAGTGTGACTACCAGGTAGATCGTGATGGGCGAGCCCTCAGTTCGTGGTGGACAACGACCGACGAGGAACCAGACGCGTGCGAAGATGACGATGACCTGCTCATTTATGTCGCCAGCATGAACAACATTTCCTGGCTTACTGGTTGTGCGGATGCAGCTGGCATGTGCTACGTCGAAGATGTGCAAGACATATGTTGCGAAACGTGTGGTACAGCTGAGACGGAGTGCAAAGATTATGACGACACACTGTGGATGTTCGACATGGGGTCTGACGACTGCAGCGAAGTGGCGAGCTGGGGATATTGCTCTGACAGCCCCGATCTTCAATACGTGTGTTGCGAGTCGTGCTCTGCGGAGGCCACGCCAGAGCCGGAGCCAGAACCAGAGCCTGAGCCCGAGACCTGGTGGACAACGACCGACGAGGAACCAGACGTGTGCGAAGATGACGATGACCTGCTCATTTATGTCGCCAGCATGAACAACATTTCCTGGCTTACTGGTTGTGCGGATGCAGCTGGCATGTGCTTCGTCGAAGATGTGCAAGACATATGTTGCGCAACGTGTGCTGCAGCTGAGGGGGAGTGCAAAGATTATGACGACACATTGTGGATGTTCGACATGGGGTCTGACGACTGCAGCGAAGTGGCGGGCTGGGGATATTGCTCTGACAGTTCCGATCTTCAACACGTGTGTTGCGAGTCGTGCTCTGCGGAGGCCACGCCAGAGCCGGAGCCAGAACCAGAGCCTGAGCCCGAGACCTGGTGGACAACGACAGACAAGGAGCCAGATGTGTGCGAAGATGACGATGACCTGCTCATTTATGTCGCCAGCATGAACAACATTTCCTGGCTTACTGGTTGTGCGGATTCAGCTGGCATGTGCTACGTCGAAGATGTGCAAGACATTTGTTGCGCAACGTGTGCTGCAGCTGAGATCGATTGCAACAACTATGACGACATACTCGGGATGGTCGACGTGGGGGCTGACGATTGCAGCGAAGTGGCTGGCCAGGGCTATTGTTTTGACATCCCCGATCTTCAACCCTTTTTTCAACACGTGTGTTGCGAGTCGTGCTCTGCGGAGGCCACGCCAGAGCCGGAGCCAGAACCAGAGCCTGAGCCCGAGACCTGGTGGACAACGACCGACGAGGAACCAGACGTGTGCGAAGATGACGATGACCTGCTCATTTATGTCGCCAGCATGAACAACATTTCCTGGCTTACTGGTTGTGCGGATGCAGCTGGCATGTGCTTCGTCGAAGATGTGCAAGACATCTGTTGCGCAACGTGTGCTGCAGCTGAGATGGAGTGCAAAGATTATGACGACACACTGTGGATGTTCGACATGGGGTCTGACGACTGCAGCGAAGTGGCGGGCTGGGGATATTGCTATGACAGCCCTGATCTTCAACACGTGTGTTGCGAGTCGTGCTCTGCGGAGCTCTGCGCGGACGGCTGCTACAACGGGTGGGAGGGTGACGGCATTTGCGACTCCGCGTGCAACAATTGGGAGTGCAGTTATGACGGAGGCGACTGCGACGAAGAGCCGCCGCCCGACCCTGAAGGACTCGACTGCGGTCAGTGTACCGACGATGAAGGGGATTGCGCGTTCTTTGTCGGATCAGAGACTGCTTCATGCGGATCAGGATACGAGGTCGTATACGGGAACTACTGCTGTGATCACTGCAGCCATCCCGACCTACAGTTCTTTGGCTGCGTCTTTGTCGGTTGGTCAGGTGCTTGGGCTTACAGCCCCACGTTCGTGCCCTTGCTGTTGAGCGTCATTGTGGTGTTGCAGTGAAGCAGTTCTGCTGCGCAGAAGGCCGCCCGGGGACTTCGTTGCCGCGGGGCCCTCGGTCGGAGCCGTTCTCGCCGAGCCGACTCCAGTCGTGAATGCCGCGGCCCGTGACCCAGACGCCAGAAGCCGTTTGGACGATGACTTGGCTTGCTTCCTTTGCTCGTCTCTCCTGCGCCCTTCTCCTCTCCTTCTCCCTCCTTCGCCTCTCCTTCTCCCTCCTTCGCCTCTCCTTCTCCCTCCTTCGCCTCTCCTTCTCACTCCTTCGCCTCTCCTTCTCCCTCCTTCGCCTCTCCTTCTCACTCCTTCGTCGCCTCTCCACTCTCCCTCTCCCTCTCCCTCCTTCGCTTCTCCGTCTCCCTCGTCCTCCCCCCCCCGCTCGGCTCCCGTCCTCTCCTTCTCCTTCGCCTCTCCTTCTCCTTCGCCTCCCCCTCGCTCGCCTCCCGTCCTCCCCCCTCGCTCGCCTCTCCTCCCTCTTCGTCCTCTCCTTCGCCTCTCCTTCTCCCTCCTTACTCGCTGTGCGAGCACATCAGAGACCTGCTTCGCCTGCCCCTGGTGTGTCGCCTCTCGGTGGTTCGTTCGCAGGCTTGCTAGCAAAGCAATCCGATCTTGCTTGCCAGCAAGCGCACCCGTTTCTCCCCACCGCCCCGTGGTGGGTTGCTCCCGACTGGTTTCCCCTGATCACCTCGTCGACCATGGTTACTTACAGGACGAGGCTCCCAATATCGTATTGCAATGCGTTCACCATCGGATTCGTCCTCTCCCCCCTCCTTGTCATTCCCTCATCCTCCTGCCCTCCCCTCGCGATGTTCCTGGAGAGGCCTTGGGCATCATATGGTGTCGCTTACACCCTCCCACTCCCTCCTCATCCTCTTCTTCTTCATCTGCCTCCCCCTCGTACAGTTCAGCAGTCCCTTGAGGTAGTGTCAAGCAATCCATGCGTTCAAACTATGCAGTCGCCTCTGCCAGCGTTTGGTATATGAGTTCGCTCAAGAAGGCGATGCCGATGTCCATGCTGGTCAATGTCTGTTCCCGATGGGAGAAGGTAGTTAACTATCTGGCCAGTAACCCTTGAGGTTGGCTTCTTTACCATCTTGTAGAAGGCTTGTCGCTTTCTCATGTGGCAGTGTGTGCGGAAACACCTTGCCAACAAGGCAGTTGGGCGCGTTAGCAGTTGCGTCCTGAAGCTGGAGTCGAGTCGACTTTTCAGTACAATTGTTGTTCAGTTTCTGGCGTCTGTTCATTTCGCAATCACTGCATGCACTCGAAGTGTCCTGGCGGACGTTGAAGGATTTGGCGAAGGTTTCCCGCCGATGTTGGTTGCTGGCTGGGTTCCTGGGTTCCCGGTTCTGGCTTCCAGGGTTCCTGGTTCGGCGTGTTGCCCCGATTTCGGAGGGCGGCGTCCCGGGTTCCCGGGTTCTTGGTCGATCTTCTTATCGATCGGTGTCACCATCGATCTCATCACTCATTTCTCTATCGATTTCATCATCGATCTCACAAGCGATTTCACTATCGATCTCACAAGCGATCTCACTAGAGATCGCATGAGCGATCTCGCGATCGATCTCGCTATCGATCTCATTGAATCGATTTCACTCTCGGTCTCACGATCGACCTTGCAATCATCCTCACTATCGGTTACACTATCGATCTCATTATCGATCTCACAATCGATCTCAAGATCCATAGTATTAATTTTCAAATCATCCACTGATTGGGTTTTCTCATGTGTAATAGTAAAACAGCAGTGGACAAGTCGTCCCCCAACTTTCTGTTTTTTGTTGTTTTGTATTTTTTCTCCAATCAGTGCTTGCGCTGAAGGGGTCCTAGCGGAAATTGAAATATTCGGCGAACATTTCCCGCCGATTTTGGTAGCCGGCTGGGTTCCCGGGTTCCTGGTTCCGGGTTCCCCGGTTTCGGGTTCTTGGTTCGGGGATGATTTCGGTGGGTTTTGGGTTCCCAGAATCCCGGTCGATCTCCACATCGATTATCGATCCCATGTTAAACCATCCATTGATTGGGGTCTTCTCTGGTGTAATTCATCACTACCTTGTCATTTTCATCCTTTCCTCCGCGTCCTACCCAAGCCTTCCTCGTCCTCTTTCTCGACACGATGCTTATCAGCCAAGATTTGCTGGTTTTCCTTTGTCGAACCTTTCATATTCCTCCTCCTCCTCGTCCGTCCTCCCCTCCCCCAGCCGCAGCTGGTTTCGGCCCCGCTGCTGGGCGCTTTCCTCGATACATGGGCGCCAGTGGTGCTGGGAGGCGCCGGGAAAACCTGCTGTGTGAGCTGATTTGCTGCCCCGCCTTCTGCTCTCCCCCCGTTCGCCCGGTCAGATGTTCGAGTTCGGCCCTATGGGCCTTGGGCGGCTTCGCGCAGATGCCCCGCGCGGAGCGTATCCGTGGGATCGCGCATCCGTCGGCGGGGTTGCGCCTCGGTGGCCCGACCGCGAGGGCACGGGCATGGGCATGTTCATCGCTCGCGACGGTCGCGGAGGGGGCGGGGAGGGGATGTAGTGTCGGCGGTTCCCAGCCAGTTGCCTCGACTCAATGGTGGCTCCAGGCTTCTGGGACCTTTCCCCAACGGCCCCAGAGCCGTCCCAGACTGCCCCCAGACGGGCCAAGAGAGCCCCAGGAGGCCCCCATGACGGTCCGAGAACGCCCCGAATCGCTAGCAGATGCGTTCAGCATTCACCAGGTGGCCTCCTGACGGCCCACCAGGCCAACAAGACGCCCCAACTTGTCTGCAAGGGCACTCCCACGAGAGCCCCAGGAACCAAGCCCCGGTGATTCTTTCCAAGATTCTGTACGTGTATGATCTGCACCCGGTCTTAAGAGATTTTGCTAACCAAGTTGCGGGTGGGTGGGTGGGATGTTTGCGCGAGCAGTGGAGTGGACAAATCACTGCGAACAGAAATTAGCACCAATATAGGATGTCAGCATTTTTGCCTTTCTGGCTTCTCCACACTCTCAGATGGCCCAAGAGGCCCCCAAAGTCGCCCCAGAATCGCCCCAGGCGACCCCTCGGAGGGTGCCGGTGCAGTTCTTGGGGGGCCTCGAGACGGCCCCCGAGAGGCGCCCCCGAGGCGTCCCGCGGCCCTCCGACGGCCCAGGATCGGGAGGGGAGCAAAAACACACAGACACAGCGAATCGTCGATCCCCCAGAAGATATCAGAAACTATGGGAAGTGGGGGGGAAGACAAAAACCCAGAAGATATAGGACAATATGGGGAATCCTGTCACTTATGTGTGTGTGTATTTATTTGTGTGTCCCAGGGCCCCTTCACAGGAGAGCCCTCAGAGGCCTCCAAGACGCTCCAAGAGCTCCTTTCAAACGCTCACACAGGCGCTCAACACGCCCCAGATTGGCCTCCCCACGGCCAAAGAGGCCCCTCCAAGACAACCCAAGATGCCTCTAAGAGCACTCCCACGACGGCCCAAATAACAAACTTCATGGACTTGTTTCTAAGTTTTGAACTGGTTTTTGATATTCTGCCTTTCCGGTTTCTCCACGCTCCTACTTACGACGGCCCCAGAGGCCCCGACGATCGCCCCACGACCGCCTCAGACGCTCCCAAGAAGGTGCCAACACAGCCCCTGGGGGCCCGAAGATGGCGCACGAACCGCTCCAGAGGCGTCGCAGACGGCCCTGCAACGGCCCAAGAGAGCGCAACGGCCCAAGAGAGCTCCCAGAGGCCCCCAAGACGATCCAAGAACGGTCCGAATCGTTTACAGTGGCACTCCACACGCCCCGAAGGCCTCCTCACGGCACAATAGGCCTCTCCGACGACCCAAGATGCCTCCAAGAGCAGTCTCACGAGAGCACCGTGAGACGGAATCAGCTGATGTTTCATAGATTTTCTTTACATCTTGCACCAGTCTGCCTTTCCGGCTTCCCCACGCTCCTACGACGGCCCCAAGAGGCCCCAGAATCGCCTCATACGCTCCCGAGAAGGTGCCAACGCGGCCCCCGGGGGCCCGAAGACGGCCCACGAGGCCTCCAGGGCACCTGGTGCCCCAGGAGGGACTTTCCTGAGGCCCCTTTCGAGACCCTGTTGGGCAGCGCTCCCAGAAGGATTCAATATCGGTGGCAATGCCGTCATGCGAGAGCGCGCGCGTGACTCACCTTTCCATGCTCTTGGGGATCCTCCTCGGGCCCTCCTGGAGCCCTTCCCGGCCCTCAGTGAGGCCTTCCAGCGCGGCTGGGGGGGGCTCCCAGAGGGCGTCCACGGCAGCGCGAGTTGAACCGCGCGAAAGGGCGCTCGCGTGACATACCTATCTCAAGAGGGAAAGAAACACACAGCCACAATTCATCGTCGACTTCCAGGGAAATATGGGAAAATATGGGAATTGGGGGGGAAGACAAAACAGAGAACATATGGGAAAAGATGGGGGATCCTGTTATTTGTGTGTGTATTTATTTGTGTGTCCCGAGGCCCCTTCACTATCACTGCTCTCGAGGGCCCTCTGGAGCCTGCTTCGGGTCCTCCCGCAGCCCTCTCCGAGGTCCTCGTTCGGGCCCTGCAGCGCGGCCTCGGGTGGCTCCCAGGGGGCTCCAATAGCAGTGCAGGGACGCTCGCGTGACGACGACGACGACGATTATTTGACTGGTGATTCTGACGATGATGGTGATGATGATGATGATGATGCTGATGATGATGATGATGATGATGATGATGATGATGATGATGATGGTATTGATGATGATGCTGATGATGATGATGACGGCGATGATGATGACGATGATGATGATGACGATGATGATGATGATGATGACGATGATGATGATGATGATGCTGATGATGATGATGATGATGATGATGATGGTATTGAGGATGCTGATGATGATGATGATGATGATGCTGATGATGATGATGCTGGTAATGATGGTGATTATGACGGCGATGATGGTATTGAGGATGATGATGCTGCTGCTGCTGATGATGATGATGATACTGATGATGATGATGATGATGATGATGATGATGATGATGATGATGATGATG